ACCTTTTTATGTTTCTTTTGAATCTTGTGTTTCAATGTCAGACCTTCTATTTAGCTTTGGTCTTTTCATCAGGAATGCTTGAAAGTCCTTTATTTCATTAAATGTCTATTTTTCACCCTGAAATATTACATTCAATTTTGCTGGGTGATTGTTGGTTGTAATCCTAGCTCTTGCCTTCCAGAATATCATATTCCAAGCCCTTTCCTTCTTTAACATGGAAGCTATTAACTTTTGTATGATACTGACTGTGGCCCCACAGTATCTGAATGGTTTCTTTCCGGCTGCTTGCAATATTTTTTCCTTGACTTGGGAGCTCTGGAACTTGAATATAATATTCATGGAAGTTTTTATTTTGGGGTCTTTCAGGAGGTGATTGATGGATTCTTTCTATTTCTATTTTATCTTCTGGATCTAAGATATCAGGGCAGTTTTCCTTTATAATTTCTTGAAATATAATGTCTAGGCTCTTTTTTTAAATTATAGCTTTCAGACAGCTCGATAATTCTTAATATCTCTCCTCGATTTATTTTCCAGTCAGTTGTCTTTTCAATGAGCTATTTCACATTTTCTTCTATTTTCTCATTATTGTGACTTTGTTTTATTGCTTCTTGATGTCAAATGGAGTCATTAACTTCCACTTACCCAATTATAATTTTTAAGAAATTATTTTCTTCAGTGAACTTTTGTCCCTCTTTTTCCATTTCACCAATTCTGCTTTTTAAGGAGTTCTTTTATTCAGTGAAGTTTTGTACTTTTTTTCACTTGTCCAATTCTGCTTTTTAAGGAGTTCTTTTCTTCAGTGAAATTTTGTTCCTCTTTTGCCATTTGGCCAATTCTGTTTTTTAAGGTGTTATTTTCTTCAGGTTTTGTTTTGTGCCCATTTTACCAAGCTATTAATTCCCTTTTCATAATTTGCTTGCATCACTAATTTCTTTTCCCAATTTTTCCTTTACCACTCTAATCTCTTTCTTTAACTCTTCCAGGAATTCTTGTTGCACTTGTGTCCAATTTAAACATTTTTTCTTTGAGGCTTTGCTTGTAACTATTTTCATGATGTCATTTTTTAAGTTTGTGTCTTGATCTTTCCTGTCACCACAGCAGCTTTTTATGGTCAGGTCCTATTTTTGTTGTTTGCTCATTTTTCCAGTCTATTTCTTTATTTTTAACTTTCTGCTAAAGTTGGGCTCTGCTCATGTAGGCACTATCCCAAGTTTCAGACTTTTTTCATGCTGCCATTTTCAGAGTTAGTTTCCTTCTCTTCGGTATTTCTATTTGCTGGTGGGGAGGAGTTGGGAGGCGGGGGTCGGGTAAGGAGGAAATAGAGTATGATTCTCTTTGATTCTCTCTACCATCTTGGGTCACTTTCCCTTATAATGTAAATGTTGAGATAGCAGTTATTAACTATCTTAAAATACAAAAAAAAATACATAAATAAGAAGGAATATTTGTTATCAAAATTTCAATATAGAAAGCATTTAGAGGGACTAATCAAGATAGGTATCATAAGGTGATGAGTAAACACTTTCTTCTGTAAAACAAAAATAAAATGGAATGACAATCATTTTTGAAGCCACTGAACTAGATAGAAGCCTTAGAAATTTTAACCTAGAATTTACTCAAAGGAAGCCATGGAGGTTGCCAGCAATATTATGCAAGGAAATAGCATCTTGCTTAAACCTTAGACTTCGTATTAGCTTGGCAGTTACAATCTGATTTCAATATGGAATTGACAGAATACTAACTGTATATATTTAGCCTTCAAGATTCTGGTTAATTAATATAGATAGAGCGTCATAGAGTATACCAATGATAGGTGTACTACTATAACTATGACTACTGCTGCTCCTGATAATATTAATAATAATAATAAGTATATAGCTCATTAAAGTTTGTTTGAATATGTTCTCTCTTTTGAGCCTAAAAATAAAAAACAAACAAAAAACCCTGTGTTAGGTACTATTATTATCACCATTTTACAGATGCAGAAATTGGGCCTGAGAGAGGTTAAGAGGTTTCCTGGGTCTCACAGTTAAGTAAATGCCTGAGACACGATTTATTGGTCAATCAGTCAGTGAGCACTAATTAAGTCCTACTATGTATCAAGTACTATATGTTTAGTGTTGGCGACACAAAAAAGGCAAAAGACAGTCCCTGCCCTTGAGAAGCTCACAATGTAGTGCAGAGAGACAATATGCAAACAGCTGTGTATAAAAGGACTGCCTAGCAGAAGTAAGGGTCCAATTGAGATCAGATAACATACATTTGTAGTGGATAATCAAATTAGTTGTGTGATTTCCTCCACCTTCTTCCAATAACATGTAGGAATGTGTACAAGTGAAAACAGCAGATGGTGGGAGAGATCCAAAGCTAAGAGTTGGCAGGGCACAATTAGTGATATGATAAGAGAACAAGGGATTCAAGAGAAGAGTGCAATGTAGAGGTAAAAGGGTTGACCAAGAAGTTAAAATGAGGAAAAGTAGATAGAGTGGTCAATGTAGGCTTGATGACCTGGGTCATGGAACTGAGAGATCAAAGGATTGAAGAGGAGGATCTGGTATTGGAAGACTGAGGGAGAGGGGGAAAGCCAATTGATTGCGATCAGATAAAGGAATGACAGAGTTCATGGATGTGGATTTGGACTCAGTTCTTCCTGAATTCAAATCCAGCACTCTCTCTACTATGCCAGCTAGCTGCCTAGGAGTCAATATTTGGAAGTTACCACTAGACATTATATTGAGGCAAAAAAATAATTCCCAAAGAAATATTCATCAATGGAATAATTTTGAGTTGCCAAACCTGGCTAACAGCTAAATTAAAGACCAAGAGGGTAATGCTCACATATAATAAGAGGTCTCAAATTCTTCTTCAAAAAAGGGCAATGCTATTGAAACATACTATTTGCTATTCTTTTCTTCCGTTTTGTTTTGTTTTCTCTTTCTTATGGTTCCTCCTATTGGTTCTAATTCTTCCTTACAACATCAATAATGTGAAAATATGTTTAATAGGAATGTATATGTATAGTCTACATTAGATTGCATGCCATCTTCAGGAAGGAAGTGGTAAGGGAGGGGGAGAAAAATTTAAAACTCAAAAGCTTATGAAAGTGATTGTTGATAAATCAAAATAAATTATTTTTAAAAAAGAACAATGCTATAGCTGGAGACATTTAGAGGACATCTTATCCACCAAAGTAATAAGATCAATCATCAAAATCTCATCTAGAATTATTTGATATGGAATTGTATCACAGCTACAAATCTTCAGTGTAGGTGGGAATAAGCCTTTCAAGGATAACCTCCTTTAAAGGCAGCTACAGTAACTCCTAACATTAGACAGAAACCTTGAGATGTGAACAACAGATTTGCTGTATAAATGTGTTTTAAAGAATATCTTCTCAATCAGTCATCAATCTCTTCAAAAATACTACCTTTCAAACATAATAGATGGAGTGAAAGTGACATACTGCAAGAAGACTGGAAAGAAAGAATAGTCACTCAGTCAACATAGATTTATTAAGCACTTAGTAGGAGCCAGGCACTATAGTAAGTGCTGGAGATACAAACAAAGGTTAAAACAGTCCCCATGCTCAAGGTGCTCACATTCTAATGGGGGAGACAATGTGAAAATTACTAGTTACATGCAAAAATATATATAGAGTAAATGGAAGGTAATCTCAGAGGGGAAGGCATTAAAAGCTAGGAACAGCAGCAAAGGAATTCTACAGAAGGTGGGATTTGAGCTGAATTGTGTTACCCACCTTGGTAAATGTTTTTCTAAAAGTAAATTAAGTTTGGCTGGTTAACATATCAATTGATAATCATGGGATATGGGAGGCACACCAATGGAGGTTAGTGAATCATAGCATCAGAAAGGCATCCCACATACACTCATCAGGACTACCCCTACAACTGTGATGGTACAAGCAGTAATCACCCTCCAGGGAACTACAGTGTAGTAGAGGTTGGGAGAGTGGTCCCACAGAAAGTGTTAAAAATACATTCTTATAAAGCTCATAACATTTATGAATTTTAAATGTATTTGTAATGTATTTCTATGCAAAAAAGAATGCTATAGGAATCAAAAGTTAAAAGAAGTATAATCAATTTATATTCCAGACATGAACTTCAAATCAATTCAACATTTACTAGCGCCACCCCACCCTCTAACACACATTATGTAAAGGTCCTGTGAATCCAGCAAAGAAAATCAAGAAGGGTAAGAAAGTGGGAAAAAAGATGGGCATAGCAAGGTACAAAGGAAGCTGAGGGAAGAGAGTATTAATCAGGAGTAGTTCCTCAAAACTGTCAGTTGCTGCTAAAAGATGATAAAGAATAAGAAACTGAATGGCCTTTTAATTTTTATTGCCTATATTTATAGCCAAAATACTTTTAAATGTTTCTAATATAATAGCATTCTGTAAACGTATTTTTAATAATTCTGAAAATTAAAAAATTAAAATTGGAAACAGAGGAAGTGTCTAATCTTAATAAGGTTCCCTGAGCCAAAGGCTACCAAATAAGGGAAGCCAAATTCTAAATATTGGCAAATAACTGATTTACTTTTAAAAAATTTTTTTAATGTTTTTTAATATGCTAAATGACCGATCTTCACTTTCACCTATTCTTGAAAGTGGGAACAGCACAAAAGAAAGTGTCACCTCAGGAGCACCTATCACCCATCTCTGCAACAAAAACACCAAATTCCAAATGAAGTGGTAAGTTCTAGATTTGCTCATTAGGCTTACATACCAATGTCCCTGTTCATAAACTGATAAGGTTAACATACCTGATCTTTTCATCTAGGCTGAAGGGATGTAATAGCATCGAGAGTTTAGCCTACATGGGAGTTGACTTGTTTTTATATGGTATTAAAAAGTATGAATGGCAATGCTACAGAATGAATAAAATGAGCATCTTGGTATGGTTCTTTGACTCAGAAGAGCATTATTATGAATGCCTGCCTCCCACCATAGGTGACTGTTCAACTTTCAGTTAACCTACCTGCCATTCTGGTCTGCAGTCCATGTAACTGATCTCCCTTCTGGCTTTGTTTTGTACCATATTCTTATGATGTGAGGAAAGTCAGTGGCTGTCTTAACCCCCATTTTCCTGATTTGTAAGCTCCAGGGGCTAGAGGTGAACAGGAGTTCTCCACAGCCAGGAGCTTGGCTGCAGCAAGCATAATAATATAACTGTTCCCTCCAATGATCTGCAGGTAGAGTCACAAGTTCACGCACAATTTGATTTCTGATCTTCTTACAATCATTACTGAGCTTGGCAGACCGTGTAAATCTTTCAATACCTGGCACCGCAGCGGCATCTACCTCCTCGACCTTTAACACAGATAAATCACAGCAGTCCAGTATAAGTAAAAAATCCTCACTTCCATGATTCCCTGGGTCACAACAGTTCTTTGAACTAGAAATCCCATAAGTTTGTTCTCTGCTGCTATGGTTACCGCTTCTATCAGAAGTATCTTTTTCATTTTTACCACAGTCAGCAAAATCTTTAGATCTCATTTTGCATGAGAAAGCACCTAGATTTGTCACAGGAATGTGGCAAGGTTCAGATGTCTCAACTTTGCCAGATTCACTTGACTCTGACTGGCCAGATTCCCCATCAACACCACTCAGTTTCTTGCATCCACTTCCAGGCTCAAGGAAGATGATGATGGCACCTTCAATGATATGGCTTTCAAAATCCACATCCAAATCCAATTCATAATGCTTTACCAGTATGTGGTTAGTGTTGGCCATGAGAGGCAGGTCATCTCTGGAAGGGTCTAACACCGTCTCCATTGTGTTGTTTGTTGGGCAGCAGCTCTGATGATTCCACCATTCACACTCTTTTAATATTCCATCCAAATCTGTGTTTGTTAATAAGTCTTTGATGCAGGAACTGAGCTCCACAAACGTCAATCCTTTACCCAAGAAGAAAAACACAATTAGAGGAAATTGCAAACACAAAGTACTATTAGAATTTCCATTTTTAAGAGTTGACTACTGTCCATAAATAGTCCCTCTCCATACCAAGAGTATTTAACTAGGAGGCAAACAAATTTATTTCGTTGATATAAAAGAAAGTAGCGTAATGAACATCTAAAAAATATTTCCATTCACCAACTGAATGAAATGGTCCTCAATAAGGACAAAAGATGTTGCTTTTAACTACAACAATTCTTATTTTAGAAAAGATCTGTTATATAAAACTTATCATAATACTTCACACTGTTTTTTTAAATGTTAAGTGCATCATTTCTAATTTTGTGCATCAAATAAAGTGATTGTTCTTCTCTTGTGATACTAAGTAAAAAAATCAGAATGGAGACTAAGTGGCTTCATATGTTTTATTCTTTGAGAATAATAATTTAATACATACAATATAACTCTGGGGATTAATGTACTTTTCACATTAGGGCTGAGCTTACATCAACAATTCTAGTAGGTTATAAGAAAATGAGCCAATTTACTAGGAGTACATTCTAAGTATTCCTTTGAGATTGTTCACAGAGATTTTTCAAATTTATAGTTAAATGCTCAAGTATATCATTACATCTTAATAGCTGAAAACCCATTAACATTCTAGATAATAGCTTTCTTATGGCAAACAAAAGGTCTTCTCTTTTGAAAAGAAAATATGCAAATACCTATAATAGGAAAAAAGAAATTAAAATGCAGCAACAGCTGTTACAATAAAATGTATAAGTTCACCATAAAAGTTTTGATTCAAAGTAGATTTTATATTTTTATAACAATCTAGCTAAAAAAATTAGTTGACAGTACTTCATTCTTTCTCTAATTTTCTTTCAGCACATTTTTTCTTCCTTTACTAAAAAAATAAGAAATCATAGGGAGAATATGTGTATAATATTAAAGGAAGTAATATGAGTGAAAAAAACTGTAATGGTCAGATTATAGGCCATCCCTGGAATGCTAGTTATACTTCTGAAATAAGAGCTCTTAGAAAAAATATAGAGAACATAGGTACAAACTAAAAAATAACACTGACTACAGGCCATAATAAGCTCATATCTGAACCAAGATAACAGTTAAACGCTACAGAATCAATAATGTTAGTATAATCATTTGTATTTCTAAAAATCGGCATGCATTTATTTTATTATCCAAAAAAATTCTATTACTTCCTTGTTTTTTAAAGAAAAAAAATATTTCTGTTGGTCCTGTTTAAAGTGATATACCTACATTAGAAGAAAAAGGGCTTTAAGAAAGTGTCATATTTGCCAACTTGATAACCACTGTTAAAAAAATTAGCTGATTATGAAGACATAAGAAAATAGATATCTAATTATCTTTTATTAGCTTTGAAACAACTCATAAAGCTAACAATTTTAGGAAATTTTTGTACATTACAGGAATCACAAGTGATTTTACTGCCCAATAATATAGTGTCCCAAAAGTCTTAGTGCAGTTTTAAGTTTTAACGGCTTTAAAATTTCACTAAGACTTTTGAGACATCCTGTATAAAACTATATGGTATAATTCTAAATGCCAGATACTATAAAATCAGTTAATTTGAGGAAGAGAGTGATCCTGATGATGAAAAGTGGTACATAGGCAACCCTACACCAGAAAACAAAACATTTAAAATTTCTATCAGAGCTACCAAAAAAAAAAAATTAGTATATACTATTGCTGTTAAAAATTGCTCCTTTTGGAGAGAACAGAATAAACGTGGGGCGGGATAGGATGCAGGGAAATATAGTTAGTTTTCCACAGCATGACTACTATGGAAGTGTTTTGCATGACTACACACGTATAACCTGTATCGAGTTGCTTGCCTTCTCAATGAGTGTGGGTGGGGAGGGAGGAAGGGAGAAAAGTTGGAACCCAAAGTTTTAAAAACAAATGTTAAAAATTGTTTCCACGTGCAACTGGGAAATAAGATATACAGGTAAAGGGGTATAGAAATCTATCCTGCCCCACAGGAAAATAGAAGGGGAAGGGGATAAGAGAAGGAGGGGAGAGATAGAAGTGAGGGCAGATTAGGGGAAGAGGTATTCAGAATGCACGCCATCTTGAGTGGGGGGAGGGGCAAGATGGGGAGAAAATTTGGAACTCAAAATCTTGTGGAAGGGAATGTTGAAAACTTAAAATAAATAAATTAATAGAGAAAAAAATAAAATAAATAAAATAAAATAAAAAATTGCTCCTTTTGCACTCTCATTATTTGGTCAAGCTTCCTGAAGCATGTATTTAGTATAATAACACTATGTATCCAGCACATTGCATGCAGCAATGCATTTTGCAATTATATAAAAAGAAGCATAAAAATGGTGTGTGCCTTCAAGTAACTTGTAGTCTACTTGGGGAGAGAAGACTAAACACACATTTAACATTCCAACAGGGAGACAAACAACGCGTACACATTTAGGTATATAAAACACATACACAAAATAAATACCAAGTAATGGAGGAAGGGAAATGGGAGAGGAGTCACTAGCAGCTAGGGAGATCAGGAAAGGCCTCATATAGGAGGCAATGTCTGAACTACGCTTTGAAGGCAATGACTGAATTTCTGAACACTACAAAGTCATACAGCCCTTTATTCTACTCTTCCTTGATTTTCAAACATAATCCTTTTTACCCTCTCTGCCAAGGAAACATAAATACTGAGGATAAGGCCTGACAGTCATGACAGAAATCTTTGGCTTGTTATGATCCACAGAGTAAAAAAAGGGACAATGATTTTAAATGTACACAATGGGAGATGAGTGAGTAGTGACCTTCGGTGCACAATTCAAAGAGCAAGCAAAAGACTGGAGACTTAAAGTTTTTGTTAAACAGCCACCACACTTCTGTGCTGTGTAGCTGCTTCCTCCTCCCACAGAGGGAGGGACAGGGGAATGCTATAAATATGGGTTCACACAATTTCTTTGAAGCATTTGGACTTTTCTGGTTTTCAGAGGCAAATATTGAAATCTCCTATCATTACTGTGCTAATAATGTCATTTTTCAACTAAACTAGATTTTCTTTTAAGAATTTAGCCATTGTGAAACTTAGTATGATTACATTTATTTTTTTTAAAATTTACTACAATGCTTTTAGGCATCACGTAGTTTTGTGGTTGTTCTCTTGACATTATCAATGTTCACTGTTGCCTTATTTGAGATCATGATTCCAACTCCTGCTTTTGTTGCCTGAAGCATAACATTGTTTCATCCCTTCACATTCATTCTTTAGTATGTTCTATTAAAATATATTTCAAATGTATTTCTTGTATGCAGCAAATGATTGAGTTTTGTTTTGTTGCTACATTTCTCCATTCTAGATTTTATGAGGGATTGAATCTATTTGCAGTTAAAGACTATAACTATTAAGTTTTTGTTTTCTTCCATTAAATATATTTTGCCCCATCTTAAATTAGACCTTAATCTTCAGCTCTTTTACTTACATTAATCTAACCCTGGTCTTCTGCATCCAAATTCTCCTCCCTCCAGCTACTCCAGGTTCTCTTAAAATTTTTTTTTTTTTTTTGGCGAGGCAATCAGGGTTAAGTGACTTGCCCAGGGTCACACAACTAGTAAGTGTCAAGTGTCTGAAGTCGGATTTGAACTCAGGTCCTCCCTACTGCAAGGCTGGAGCTCTATCCACTGTGCCACCTAACTGCCTCCTTGAAAAATTTTTAATCTTTCGTTTGCTCCCTTCTTTTCCCTCTCTCCCTCATCTCCTTTTTACTACTTACCTTCTCCCTCCCACCTTCTTTTCCCTCTCCCTCCTATGTTTTTCTTCTCCCTTTCCTTCTCTTTACTCCCTCCCTCTCCTCCCTCTGTCTCCCTCTTTTCCTCTTCTTCCCTGAAAGGTCAAAGTGTAGTACACAATCATCTGTCCCTTCTCCCCCTCCCCCACCTCATCCATTCTTCTATTTCTATGGCATTATTTTGTAACATCCCTTTTCAAGAAGTATATTTTCACTCCATTCTCTTTCTGGTTTTCCCCTCTAAGATACCCACTAATCTATTCCCAGGAATGGTTATTCTCCACAGAAATATTGGAGTACAAGGAAAAAGTGTTCTGTAACCCAAATCCAGGGGGCCCATTCAATTCTTTGCCTTTTCCTTCTTCCCACATCCCTTTTCTTTAACGTCATGACAATTTACCTGTGAACCAAGGGCCACACGTTCAACTAGCCCTGTCCAAGCTGTACTTCATCAGGGACTCAACCACATCTTCCATAGTGGAAATTAATGCCAAGAAGTACATGATATTGAACACACCTACTCTCTAGCAGAGTTCACTACAAAATCTGCTGCAACAATATTACTTCATGATACTACCAGATCATTACCTTTCTTCAAGGAGTATCCAATGCCTGCTTTTCCTTTGTGATCTGCCCTGTTCTATCTTTTCTATCTCACCACCCAGTAGATAAAGGGAAGAAAGGAAAGCCCCTCATACAACTCTCCTTTTGGGGTCTGGCTAGTCTTTTCCTAGGTCCTCCTATCCTACTTCTCTCCTCTTCCCATCCAAAAGGAGTTCTGTATTAACCCATTAATACATTTATTAATTTTGCCCCTGAAACAAATGTTTCCCAAACACTTTCCTCTTTCGGATTGTAGCTTTTATTCTTAAGCTCCTTTTGCCTACTGATGTTCTTTTTACCTTCCCAATGACTCACAGACAATGTGTAACATTTGGTTTATTTTTTTTTTATTTAAAGGAAATCAAATAATAGAAAGAATCTTGTCCATTACTCTACTTTCATGGTCATTCCTAGCACTAGCTACATAAAAGCAAACATTTCATTTCTTACTCTTTCATTGCTATATGAAAGGATTTAACTTCCTTCTGTTTGGTCCATTTGTACTGTTTATGATACTCTGCTAATCTGTTGTCTTGCTGGAAGGAACAACTCAAATTCTCTTTAACTGAACATCTATTTCTTTTATTCTTTTCTTAGAC